ATCCATCCATCCATCCATCCATCCATCTATTCATCCATCCATCCATCCAGTAGTTACCATTACCGCTTTTTTCTTTTCGGGTTGTGTAGGTTACTGGTGCCCATATCCAGCAGTCGCTGTGCAAGAGGCAGGGGGCACCAGTCAGACCGTGTGGTCACCAGGAGCCCCACCCTGCCCTGTGCACATGGGCACCAACCACACTGTCCCAGAAAACACGCCCTCAATCAGCACACACAATTGTTTGGGTGAAAATATTATAATCGTTTTTCGTCTACAATGGCAACCCTGCTCAGTGTAGACAAAAACGGCAGGAAAACCAAACGATCAATGAGATTTTGTGGAAACGAGAGAAACTCGTCCTGTTGGAAGCTCTGGAGCGACTTTTTAGGTCTGGACATTTTTACAGTTTCTGTTTAAATTTGACAAAAAGCCCAGTTGTGTATGAGTTTAATGCGTTTATTTTTATCTCATTTGACCAAAATAAAAGCATTTTATTTCATCTGCGTGATCTCGTCACTTTTGTTTTTGGTCACAATGTGCTTTTGGCGTTTACAGGAAGCGTTGAGGCTTCCTGCGAACGGATGAGGTTTCATTATTTCTTTTAAAAAGAGCACACAAGAAGTCAGCTGTTTTGACTCAGAAGCTTTTATTGAACGTGACACGACGTGATAATTTATTGATTCAGAACACGTTTTTTTTGTTGTTGTTCAACACTTGTCACCGGTTTTGACAGAACACATTTCTCCATATCATGAGAACAAATCACAGAAAAATAAACGGGGTTAAGGAAAATAAAAATCAGACGACAAACTGAACACACCAAACAACAAAAGCATTAAAAAAAACATCCAAAATATTTAAAAATAAAACTGTGAAAAAGTTTTACACAGCAAATATTATGGAGACGATCCCCCCGAAGAGGCCCGGGTCATCCTGATTAACCTGGTGAAACACACAAACACGAAGGAAAGAGTTAGAACACAAGAGTGAAGGGAGGCCACGTTTTTACCCTTGTCTGTGTGTGCATAACTGTCTGTTAGCAAAATATCACATGAACCACAGAATGGATTTAAATTGAACTCTCAGAAAGTAATCGTTGGATGAGAATCTACAACTCAATGACTTTAGGAGTCAAGCCGCTTCAAGATGGCCGCCACAGCTACTTCAAAATGACTGTCAAACATACAGATAATGAGCTAAACTTTGGCGTGGTAGTAGCTGAGAGTCATCCTCAACCCATACTTTGAGCTGCAACGCATTTTATAAGAAATTACGACCAGAACAGATCAAACTTCTCGTCACGTGATGATACAGCTCTAGACCTCTGGCCTAAAAGGGGCGGCTGTGGCTCAGTGGTTAGAGCAGTTGTCCTCCAATGCAAGAGCTGGAGGTTCGAGTCCACCAGCAGTCACATGCCAAAGTGTCCCTGGGCAAGACACTGAACCCCCCATTGCCTCTGATGTGTCCCGTTGGTGTATGAATGTGACAAAGTGCTGATTAATCGTTGTATAGATCTAGTAGAGAGCTGTATGAATGTTACACGAGGGCACAGACTGTTGTAAAGAGCTTTGAGTATATTGATAAGATAGAAGAGCGATGCAGTGATCCAGACCCACAGAAGTGTCCTTCAACTGACCTTTGAACCCGTTACCAAGGGCAGCGTTCACTCCATCATATTTCCCACCAGTCTGCTCTCCTGCAAAAGTAAAAACGACTCAGTTTAGTGTTTTAAAGCTGATAAGAAGGAAACAAGCAAACAATGTTTCTGACTCGACGGACCACTTCAATAATTAATCCAGCTTTTAGCACGAGGTGCATGTTCAGAACAAATAAAACCTTTGGGTCAAGAGTTCAGTCTTTATGAAATAAAACTTGTCACGGCTTTGTTAAGAGTGGAACTGAAATGTTTGACCAGACACGACGTGACCTCCCCAGCCTCAGACACCGCGCCATAAATAGAAACGAAAGCCCAGGACAGAGCCGAGCTTTCGTAAGAAGACACGAGCGAATGAGCCGATCAGCAGCAGCTGGTCACGAAGGAGGAGGTGTCTGCTCGTCTGGCTTACCCAGGGCATCTTGAGTCGCTCCGAGCTGTGCACCAAAACCTGAAACAGACGCGATATTTAAGAACCAACCAGGAAATATATTTATGAGTTTTATTACCGTCATGATTTGGTACCTCCAAAGAATTCAGTATTTCAGCCTTCAGGTCCAAAATAAACTGTCAGTCACTGAAGGTGCTACTCTTGCTTTTAAAAACATGCTTTCTCCTTTAGCCTTTAGCTAACCTTTGGCTATTTTTAGCTGGAGCTTTGTTTGAGCTATTTTGCTGCTTTTAGCTACCATCCCACTACTTTCAGCTTTTATTAACCCTTTTACTTCTTTAGCTTTTCTCTAAGTTTTGCTGCTTTTATCAAGACTTTTGCTACTTTTACATTACAGTTATTTTCCTGATTTTCACTTTTAGCATTTTTTTTTGTATCTTTTAGATTTTAGTGAGCATTTGGCTAAATATTCCTAACATTTTAGTACATTTAGCTAACATTTTACAACTATTAGCTAGTATTATACTACTTTAAGCTAAAGTTTTGCTACTTTTAGCTTTAGCTAGCTATTTGCTACTTTTACTTAGCGTTTTGCTACATTAACTTTTAGCTACTGTTCTACTACTTTTAGAAACCATTTTCCTATTTTAGCTTTAAGCTAACCTTTCGCTGCTTTTAGCTAGGATTTTGCCATTTTTAACATTTAGCTATTTGCTACTTTTAACTTTTAGCAATTAGCTTTTAGCTAGCATTTTAGTCATTATTGCCAGCTTTTTATTACTTTTAGATAGAACTATTAATTTCAGCTGGCAATTTATAACTTTTTACCTATCCTTTTAATACGTTTAGCTAGCATTTTGCTACCTTTAGTAAACATTTACTATTTTTAGATTTTAGCCAGTGTTTTTCTATTTTTAGACTGAACAAGTCAGTTTCTCATGTTAGCTTTGGGACAACAAGCTAATTACTATTCAAGTAGATGACCTTTAATCCTTTTTTGTTGTTGTTTGTCTGCACTGTTAGCAAAATATCTTAATATCGTAATAACTGGACGAACGTCTACAACGGATTAACTTTTAGAGTCTACCCATTCAAGATGGCCGCCACAGCCAACAGAGAAATGGCTATAATTCAATCAAGTTCACAGATGTTGAACAAACATTTGGTGTGGTAGTAGCTGAGAGTCGTGTCCAACAAATGCTTTGAGCGCAACAAGTTGAGCAATATTTTTGCTTCAAATTGTGGCTGTAAAGGTCAATCCTGTTTGTGTGTTAGCAAAATATCTCATCGGTGCATTTTATCTTCACAGTTTGACCAAACCAGCTGCAGCTCTTTTATTGTGGACCATAAAATGATCTAAAACTTTTCATGAAAAGTGTTTATGCATTCCTTCAGGGAGTAGAGTGAATGAACGGACCTGTTGGAGCTCCATATCCCGCAGCAGCTCCTAAAACAAAAGGAAACAACGTTTAACACTAAAAGCGTCAAATGATAAAAAGACTTTGATCTACAGCACACGCCTTTGATAATAACTTCAAAATTAAATCTTAGTTTGGAAGAAGCTGATTCATCTGTGTTCAACTATCTTGTTTTTTTTATTTTTTTTTTAAATAACCGTTTTTAACACGGCTGTGATGTCATTTCATGTAGGAAAAATGGGCTAACACCTCACAATAACGGTTTGTTTTTTCCATCGCATACTTTTTGACACTTTAGCTCAGTCTCACCATATTTGCTGGCGGTTTTGGCACCTTCAGCACCGAGGCTGATCTGCTGAGCGCCGTACGGGTAGCCTCCGTTACCTGAAACATGCACACAGGACAGATTTATTTATCTCGCAGGGCAACTCAAAGTGATTTACGTAAACAACTCATAACACTACGGCGAGGTGCTAAAGAACAATAAAAGCGATGAACATTTTAAGATGCTCAAAGGAAAAAACGTTTAATGATTATCTAATATAAAATACAGCGTAAAATAATGTTAATCAGCAGCAAACAGGGATGTCTTCAACCTTGAATTTGCATGTTTGGTTCTGACGCTGGGCAGCAGAATCAAACCACACAACCTCAAAGGTCTCAGTGGTTCATAGCGCAGCATCAGAGATGTCTGATCAGAGATGCATTTTGGACCCTAAACTAAAAATTGAACTAGCAACAGCATTTTAAAATCCACTCTCTGAGCAACAGGAAGTCGGCGCAGAGACCGGATGACTCTGAGAGCCGTGAGGTTGTGACGAACTGACGGGAATTCACAACAACGAGGAGGGGCAGCCTGTTTGTCTCACATGGTGCAAACTACTGCGTCCAGCTGACTCAGCAACATTTCAGTTCACAAGCTGCTCTGAAATAACCTCATCTAACAGAAAAGGAACCGTTGTGGTCACGTTGGTTTTTCATGCACACACAGGCCTGTTTCACTCAGATTATGACGCTGCATGCTCTTGCAGCCCCTACCGTCCAGTCCTGCAGGAATCACAGGTGCGTTCCCATAAGGCACCTGTGCAGCACCGGCTCCTGCAAGAAAAACAAAGACTTGTATCTTTTCTTAACTTCTAACCTGCGTTTACAGCATAGTTTGATTCACTGTCAAGTGTTTTACTGGGAAAAGCCAAAAGAAGAAGACTACAGGTTTTTAAACATTAATACAATAACTCACAAAACATAGATATGAATAATAGATTAGTTTTGTTCTTTGTATATTATTATGTTTTCTGTCAGCCAACTTTGTCATGTCTCAAGGAATCATGCTAAAGCAAGTTGGTACAAAACAAAAACATGTTTTATTATATATAAATATATGTATATATTCAGTGGTTAGCTTAGTTTTTCATAGATTTGTGTTTCGTGCAGCCAGAGTAATCTCAATTTGGGAACCGAGAAGTTTTCATGGTGGGAGTCGAGCTAACAGCTAGCAGGCCTTGTTTTGGCTAACTGCTCAGTATGGGATATATTTCTGCCTTTTACAACTTATTTTGACAGGGTTTTTTTTGTTGTTATTATCAGTTAGAAGCTTCTGCTTTTAAGATAGCAGACAGAAAAATCTGATTTTTAGAAATGAAGGCGAAATATTCACAGTGGGAATCGAATAAACACCGAGCTAGCTAGCAAGCCCTAGCTGCTAACTAGCTGGCTCAAATTGATACTTAAAAAAAATGTTTGGTTGTTTATTTTATTTTTATTTTTTGCTTTTGCATTCACTCTGTTTTACTGCCTATAGTTGATCAGGCTGGAGGAACTCTGAGTCTTAGCAGCAGATTATGTTCAGCTGCTTCAATGCTAACAGCAAAAGACACATTCAGTTAAGAAAATATCTAGGATGAGAATGAAAAAGATGCTAGTTGTAAAAAATATGTGATGCAACAGTGGCTCAAACTGCTGGGGAATGTGTATTGTTTTAAAATGGCTCTGCGTTGAGCTACTAGCTAGTTGCTGGGTGTTAGCTTGATTTCTTCATGAGGTCTGTCTGTTGCCTGCTGCAGGTAAGATACTCACTGGTCAAATTACTCTACACAACTCTGCTTGAGAGAAAATCAGTCTACCCCATGAAGCTGAATTCTGTGTGTTTTCTTGTATTCATCTTATTATGTAGTTCTGAGCTGACCCACATGATTTTGCCAGTTCTTACCATACGCGCCCTGGACAGGTCCAAAGCCTCCTGTGCTCATTGCTGAAACATCAGAAACAAGAAAACATGCAAATCTGACACTGTTCAGCATGAAATTATTTTTGAATAAATTTAGAGAGACTGTTAAAGCATCTGCAGGAGGAGGAAATCAAACCACCTGATTAGCCAGGTCAGATTTTATGAATGGGACAAAAGAGCTACACCCAGTGGATGAGAGACCACGAAGGCCTTGAGGAGATTGTTTTGAATTCTTCAAGCTGTCACCTTTAACAAGTGAAACACTTTTACTGGTTACTGTTAGAGGATTTCAGCAGGTTATTAATGTCAGTCTTTCCTGCTTTGCTCTCAGCGTCATTAACTAACTCTGCAGGGTAAAAAATTTGGTCCAATAGAATCGTTGTTCTGCTTATTGGTTTTATATTGTTTTTATTTTATAGCTTTTATACTTTTCAAATTATTTAACTGTATTTACAAATATTTTCCCTATTGATAAGTCTATTCAGTCCCTTTAAAAACATTGTTTTATTTTAAATGTGCTTCAGCAACTGTCTGTTTTTGTCTGCTTTAGCTACTGTTCTGCTACTCTTAGCTTTTAAAAACACTTTTGCTCCTTTAGCTTTTAGCTAACCTTTTGCTGCTTTTACCAAGAGTTTTGTTTTAGCTATTTTGCTGCTTTTAGCTACCGTCCTACTACTTTCAGCTTTAATTAACGCTAACCTGTTGCTACTGTTACATTCTAGTTATTTTCCTGCTTTTCACTTTTAGCATTTTTTTGTATATTTTAGATTTTTTGAGCATTTGGCTAAATATTCTTAGCATTTTATTGCATTTAGTTAGCATTTAAAATTTTTTTAGCTAGCGTTATACTACTTTAAGCTAGAGTTTTGCTACTTTTGGTTTTAGCTAGCTATTTCCTACTTTAGAATTTTGCTACATTTAATGTTTAGCTACTGTTCTATTACTTTTAGAAACCCTTTTCATACTTTAACTTTAAGCTAACTTTTGGCTGCTTTTAGCTAGGATTTTGCCATTTTTAACTTTTAGCTATTTTGCTGCTTTTAACTTTTAGCAATTATCTTTTAGCTTTTAGCTAGCATTTTGCTCATTATTGCCAGCATTTTATTACTTTTACTGGGGCAGCAGCTTGAACAGGGGGGTCCACACATCTCTTTCCACAGCCTCCTCTTCCAGCTCTTCTGGGAGGACTCCAAGGAGTTCCCAGACCAACAGAGACATAATCTCTCTAGCACGTCCTGGGTCTTTCCCGGGTCTCCTTCCAGTTAGACATGCCCGAAACACCGGCACCCAGGGGGCATCCTTACCAGATGCCTGAACCACCTGAACTTTTAGATAGAACTTTATTCATTTTAGCTGGCATTTTATAACTTTTTATCTATCCTTTTACTACTTTTAGCTAGCATTTTGCTACCTTTAGTTAGCATTTGCCATTTTTCAAATTTAGGTAGTGTTTTTTTTTTTTTATCAAGTCAGTTTCTCATGTTAGCTTTGGGGCAGTAAGCTGATTCCTATTGAAGCAGATGTTAATCTTTTTATAATGCCACACTCACCAGCTCCGTAGCCGTCGTTGTATCCATTCCCGTAACCTGTTGAGAAAAGATACATCATGGTGAAACGTCTCGAAGACGAAAAGGTAAGAAAATATCGGAGTTCTGTGCAGGCATTTCAGAAAAAACCTTCAGCCAAGGCTCGAGCGCCAGCGTCTCCGCCTGCAGAGAGAATAGAACAAAGACCCTCAAAGCAAAGTCTGTGGGTTTGAATAGCAGTCGTGACAGAGATGTCTTCGAGTCTTTAGGCAGAAAACATCTTCTCTGTTATGTATCACATCTATTTAGATTTTTCTATAATACAAAGTAGGGATGCACAATATTAGATTTTTGGCCGATATCCGATATGCCAATATGTTAAAACTTAGTTGGCCGATAACCGATACCAATACCGATATTTCCCCCCCTAGAACTACTTACAGAGACTACATAGCTTTCTCTGCTGTGGAATTAAAATACTACATTATTCTGCATGGTCTTTGTCAATTTGGCCTGCTACCAAATGCAGATGCTGAAAAGGGGACTGAAAATGATGCCTTGGATTATGTTTAATGTCAAACTTATTCATTACATTTACTGGCTCTAACACAATGACAACACTCGAACAGTCATACAAAAACAGCGCTTTATATATATATATATATATATATATATATATATATATATATATATAT